GCATATAGTTTGTAGGACTTAATGAAAAACGAAAATGTAAATGTTTTCACTCCAAATATATTATGAATTCCTAAGCTTTAAAACCAATAGAAGCTCCTTCTGAGAACAGAATCCTGTGTACAGAGCTGATCCTGGTGTATGGTCAAGATTCCAAATGTGTTGTGCAAGATTGTACCACTTATGGGTAGATGAATAAATGGATAGGTGGATAGGTGTCCAGGAACTAAGCTCTTAAGTATTTCAATGTAGAGGTCACATTGAATTAACTCAGGGAAAACTAGGAAGAAATGTCAACCAAACAGAACTGAAACAACAGTAAAATATTAATGAGTGTGATGCTAGTTCTATAGTGTACAGACTCAGTCAGAATATCCTAATGGTTGCTTTTGATGTTACTGCTGTTGAAGAAAGTTTAGCTAGGGTTGGAATTATTTCATAATGGGTTGATGTGGGGCATTTTACTATCCACAAGCCACTCCAGGGTTTTCTGCAACATCACTTTTAAAATTAACCTCTAATAATAAATAAGATTTCTGATGTCCATTGGCTTGAAGCTCTCCTTAGTCAGAAGAAAATCTGTTTTTCAATGCAGGTGCCACTTTGGTAGATGCAGTGATGAGGAGATAAATGATAGAAGCAGAGAGAGGCAAGATGTAAGGATAGCTGCTCAGGGAGTGTGCAGAATAGCCAAACAGAGCCTCCCTGGCTAGAGTGTAAGCATGAGATTAAACCATCCAAAGCAAAGCAGAAATACTTGGGAATAAATCATGAATCTGTTTCTTTTCACATGACATTGAGCTGCTTTGCACGTTAGCAAAACAGATTGCCTTTTTCTTCAAGAGGATTATAAACATCACCAGGTTTGTGTTCAGATAGCTTCATCCTCATTCTTCCTGGTATTTTGATGACAGATGCCCCTGGCTGTATACAAATGATGCATTCAGGGAGTGAAGAGGGAGCTATAATGAGGCCTGAAAAATTTGTCCTCTTTGTGTAGCCCACTGTGCTCTTTTCTAGAGCTTATCCAGAAATTGCTTAAATCTGTGTCAGTGCTCCTGACCTCTTCACATACAAAATATGCCTGAGTTGTGGATGCCAAAGAGAAAAGATAGGCCATTAGTGGATGTAGAAGAATATAGCCTCTTTTCCTCTATTCATGGGTATTTTGGAGTGATGGAGGCAGGGGAGGCAAATAAGAGAAAATTAGAAAAAGATGATCATCAACACTGCTAATACTATGATCAGTATCTTGTGATGGATTTATGTGCATTCTGAAGACTTGCATCATTGAGAAAGAGAGCCGCTGTGTAGTTCTAGGAAGGTAGCCCCCAAATGGGTATGGCCTTGACATTAACAAACACACTTGGTGTGTGAACCAAAACTTAGTCTACCTAGTTCCAAGTGTGATTACAATGGCTTTCTAGATAGTTGGAACATGGCTATCACCACTTCAGTAAATCAAAATTATCTGATGAATGGGTATCTGTCTTCCTCTCTTTTTCTCATTCTTCATACCTGGAAGATACTTGATTAGCATCTCTTTGTGCTTCTTTTGTGCATATAAGACATTTTTGAAGACATATTAATCTCCTCTGTAATTTCTTTGTGAGAAAACTATTACTCTCCCTCAACTGTACAGATTTTTAAAAATGGAGAGGAAAATAAAATCAAACATCGTCTAAATACCAGGGAAGATTCTGACAGTGTGAATTGTAGCTTGATTGATTGATTTGTTGATTTTCTTATGTTTAAGTCCCAAGTATTTATATTTAAAAATAACTATAAAGGAGGAGGTGCTGGAATCCACACCCTTGGACTGTTACAAAAACATGCTTGTTCCTGGCATGGAAAATAATTAGAATTGTTTTTAGGTGTACAGAAATCCAATAATTTTTGGTTTTTAGAACCAATGTTTCTTTACCCAGCAGTGGTTATAAACTCTCTATTCCTTTTCAATATGGATGATATTTTAAATTCTATAATCCATGATATTGTGGCTTAAGCTTCTCCTGAATGAGAGTATTTAGTGCTTTTGTTGAGATCATTTTTTTCAAACAATTATACCATATTATCTTTTCCCCACTAATTTCTAATTAGCATCAATTAGTTGTATAAGGCAGTTTCATTTCAACATGGCAATAGATGCACACCATGTACCTTGATTGGGCTCACATCCTTTCTCCTTTTTCCTTACTCTCTCTCCTTGTCAAGCCTCGCTCAACAAGCTTCCTTGTTTAATTTTTACATGTGTACATTGTGTATTTTTACTATATTCACCCTCTTTCACTCTCTCTATAAGTAGCACTTTTATTTCTTTATTAATTTTACTCTGTGGTCATTGTGGTTCTGACCTGCATGACTTACCTATTTATTAGGTAGTGAAAGATGAAGTTCATCCACTCAGTCCATGCAGAGTCCAAGGCTCTGTGAGATTTATTTTAGAGTACAATTTTGTGTAGATTTGTGTTAAACTCATATTGCTTTTTTTCCTCAAAAGCTGTGTTAAGAGAGCACATAATTAAGATGAACATTCTGGTGTAATTTGGAACTCTAATGTCTAATAGAGAGCTTGGTACACTAAGCATAGTGCTATTTAATTCTTTAGTCTATGTTTATTATGTCTTTTTCTGAGTAGACTTGCCAAAAAGAAAAACCACAGTAATGCACTTAATGAGGAAGCTTGCATTCTGAAATCTTCTTTATGTCTAATATTTAGCAAGTTTAAATTTACTATGTATTTCAGAGGTGCTCCCAGAGAAGGAGAGAAAATTAATCACTTATATTATTGATGGCAGAGTAAAGTTACAAGATTTCTTTAACTATAAAGGTATTTACATGCTACTTAGCTTCACTTTGTACATTATAACAAAACAAATACACACTAAGAAATTCAACCAATCACTATGGATGCTCTGATCATTTCATGGCTTTTTGATCTCTAGATTTTATTTATTTATTTGTGTGTTTATTTACTTATTTATTTTTGTGGGCTAAATTGGCATAGCAAGTTCTGGTGGAGCTGAATCTGATGTCTACCTATTCAAGTATGTTTGCAATATTTATGTGTGTGGCTTGAACTTTGCCACATTTTTCTTCAGTATTCTCTCTCTGCTTTTCATTTTCTGCTGAGCTTTTTTTCAACAATGCTAGCTTGAAAAATAAGTAGGAATTCAAAGACTAACTCACGAGAAGCTTAGGAATTTTCATAATTATAGGTTGCTTCCAAGTGGACACCAAAGCTTAGGGAGAGTAACATGGTTTAAAGGCACATAAATGCACCTCATTGGAATCTTAATTCCAGCAAAAACTTTAGTACTTTCCAGGTTAATATTCCTCACTTTGCCAAGGAGTGTCCTTAAAGCAGGTCTCTATTGATGCTAGCTAGCACTCATCAACTAAACCAAGAATCTCAGGTTTACACCTCATCACTTTGTTTTATAGTCACAATGTCATGAATGTGGTATGGTAGCCATTACTAAGACCCAATTTACAGAATGAGAGGCTATGGAAACCATGCTGATGTGATTTCTGTAAAGCAAATTCCTGAAGATCTTCATATACCTAACGTTAAGAAGCAGTTTTCTGTGATTATAATGTCATGAACCTCACATAGATTCTTATAAATAACATGAAGTTAATATAAACGTAATTACATATGTAGACATGAAAAAGTATTCCACTTAATTCATTTTAACATCTTAATACTTAGGAGTAATAACTAGTATAATTAAGATAATATTTGCCAGAGAGAATTTTATAAGTGAGGTGCCATTTGAAACAATCTAATTCTGTATCACTTTGTTGAAAGATATTCCCATATTAACAGTAGGGTCTCAGGTAAGGAAAACATTATTAGTAGATGAATTGATAAGTAAACACAGAAATTGACATAGTATAATTTCACAGATGAGAACAGTGTTAATTTGACTTCCTGATGCTCTCCTAATGGTTTAGAAACTTCTTGAAGCTTTGCCATCTGTTAAAAGCAAACATCTAACTTATGAAAAAGAAACATGAGTGGGGAATCTATGAATTCATCCTTCTGAATATTTTTCAATGCTCTATGAACTCAGGACATGAAAGCAGAAGGATATCCACACTTTTTTGCTTTTAAGCAAATATATCTTCTTCCATACCATAAGGAAAAATAAAAACAAGTGGTATTATTTTTTAACTTCTTAATGTATCATCTGTAGAAAGAAAATTCTTCCAGAGAGATCTTCCAGTTCATTTGGGAGTTGGGGGGAGGGTGAACAGGAAATGAGCACAGGGAGGATTTTCAAGATCCATGTACCAGGACTCACTCCCTAGACTATATATCTCAATTTTTACAGGGAGGTGTTCTTATATATTTGGTCATTGCACCAACATTCATTTTGATATGATGTGATCATTGAGAAATCTCTGGAAGCCTAGTTTAGAAGGGCTGTTTAAATCAGACCCTTACAGCCTGCTCGTGATTTATCATGTTTGATTGTTGAAATTAAAGAACAATATGGAGATACAAACAATGCATTATTCAAGAAGTGGTATGGAAGAATGATATTGTACATGCCTCATTCTCACTCTTATTTTTCATGTTTGTGATTTACTTTCTGGGGTAAGTAATACTGAAAGTATGTCACTTGCCCACAGGTATCTCCTAAGAAAGGCTTTTATGGCATAAAGCAATAATTTCTTCTTATACTGGTCTTGGTCCTTTTCTTATGGAGTTTATTTTTTTTTCAGATTATAATCTGAAAAGGAAATTTGGCTCCATCAGCTTGTTTGTTTTTGTGAATTTGTTTTCAGCAATCAGGTTTCATAAAAAAAATAGAAATTTACTCATCTTTCTTTGCAAGTTGGGATGTTTACTATAGTTAAGGGCAATTTCAATAAGTACATTTGAATGCATCTTAGCAGAAAAGCTGGAATAATTTTATAAAATGCCATGTTATTTGATTTACCTTCTACTAGGCAGATTTAACAACCATGATTCTCTCTTCTTTTCCTTCCCTCAGATGTACATCCAGACGACAACTCTTACTGTGTCCATGAGTCTCAGTGCTTCAGTGTCTCTGGGAATGCTCTATATGCCCAAGGTTTATATTATAATTTTTCATCCAGAGCAGAACGTTCAAAAACGTAAGAGAAGCTTCAAGGCTGTGGTGACAGCTGCCACCATGCAAAGCAAACTGATCCAAAAGGGAAATGACAGACCAAATGGTGAAGTGAAAAGTGAACTCTGTGAGAGTCTTGAAACCAACAGTAAGTCATCTGTAGACTTTCAGATGGTCAAGAGCGGGAGCACTTCCTAATAGATGTACGTTGAACGATCTTCTACTAGCCTTGGGGACTGTGCCACATGGTCGCAGGGGAATTACGTACCCATGCACTTTAAGACTGTCAAAACCATTTAGTGAGAGAGCCAGATGATTGCAGGATGAGTGACTATTCTTCAGAGCATAACCATGCCCCACAAATCTCTTTTACAATGCATGGCACTCAGATCTTTCTTTGGATGCATTATAGACTTGTGGTTTAGAAAGCTTTTCCATTTATAACATTCTATCAGACACATAGAAACTACTCAACTTTTGAAGAGTTCAATATTGGATGTTCCTGATAATTGCAATCATTTAGCAATATTGCTAGAATCGATTATAAGAAATCTTACGTGAACAAAAAATGACATGATATTTGCCCTTTTGAGAATGAGAAAAATAGCTAATGTGTTTTAGTTAAGTTTTAGTAATTGCATCTTTTCTCCTTCTGGCATCCCTTGATTTTTTGGAGACACAATGACAATTAGTCCTATTTTCTGCAAGCCTAATAACCTTGAAAGAAAATCCTTTCCATGACCACCAACATTTTTGTTTTCTTCATATAACTTCCTCTTCTCTAGAGTATATTTCAGGAACAGCACATGAAGCATCACAATGATACGCAGGCTAATCTAGTGCAGCTTAACTGTTAGATTAAGTCCCTCTTGATTTCTGCAGCAGAACAGCAAATAGGTTAAAGATACATGTTGTAAAATAACAGAAGGCTGCTAAAATAAAAATTACCTTCCTCCCAGAATTATTCAATGGACTATATTTCTCATTTTGCTATAATTTTGACACTAAATGGAAGAATCAGAGTTGGATTTCTGTGGTTTAATTACTCCTGTTGCCATTCAAAGGTTTCACCACATTCAATAACTTGTATTAAGATTTTTGATTTAAGATTGTATTTAAGATTTTTGAGGTGAGTGGTCAGACAGTGGAATATCTCATATAGAGAGCCAACCTGGAAGATCAGCTTTGCTTAATTAACTCATTGACTTCATATACTGTTAGACCCCCGTGGCAATTCTGGGTTATCTTCTGGCCACCATTACCAAATTCAGCTCACTTTTAGAGAAAGATATCTGACAAGGTTCCACAAATGCTCATCAAGCAGTTTCCTTTCTGTTAACTTGTGATATGTCAATGGAAGGCACAATAATGATGAGTTTTATACCAATTCCTTACAATCACCTGTCAATCTAGATACGCAATTGACTAATAGTAGTCTTTTAGTAAAAAATGATTCATAACTACTATTCAAGCCAGCAGAATAGGATGTTGTGATCTGAGGGCAAGAATTTTCCCTATGTTTTTCTACCATGAAAGCATCAGTATGGAAAGTTAAAAGCCATGTAGAGGCCAGTAAACTGCTCTTGGCAAAGAACAATCTTTGAACACTACACCTCCCTGATGCCTCAAGACAGTCTATTGTTGTACCTGTGTTTTAGTAACAATCAAAAAACTCCGATAATATGGTTTCAAAGGGGAACATCCACATTTAGAATGAGACAAGTACCAATCATCCCACACACTCCTGTGGAAAAAAGGTAATAGCATTTTTCACTTCTTTAAAGAACAAATGGTTCTCAGAAGGACATTTCCTAATATTTCAAAGTACTAATCTTGCATTATGGAAACAACCCTCAAACACTTAATGTTATTTTTTTTGTTGATGTTAAGTTGGAAATTATGCGGCATGCATATGCTCCTCTATTTTCTCTAAAATAAGAATGAACTAGTCCAAGCATAAAGACTGTTTGGAGAGGAAGTCTATAATATTCCTGAGAAGTTAGAAGCTCATTCTTAGAGGATGAAGGAAAGTGGAAAAGAGGAATTAAGATCATCTCAATTACTGCCTGAATGGAGGTTCAAGTTGTCCAAGATTTGAGCATGTTTTATCTTTTATGGGACTAAGTTAGGTTTAAATTCATTGGGTCCTGTTAAAGTGGTTTAGATTACACATTTGGGAGGGACAGTTTTGTGAAGTCCTCACACTTTTATCCACCAGACCAGTCATCATCATCTCTGCTTTCCTGTTTCCTTACATGATCATCGTCCAAGGAGACGGTAGATTCCTATGCTGTACAACCAAGCCTTGTTATCACTGTCTAGAATTCCATGTCCAAATACAGTTATCTAGGGCTTTTCAGCCATATTGCCATTAGTCCATCAACTTTTATAATTAGCTAAAGGTTTCTGAAATCACAAACCCACTAAAAACATATCCACACAATTAACCACTCAAATATTATATTTTTTCTCTCAAAATTGTGTGGATTTAGAAATGCAATCGTATATTGGAAAAGCATTTGACATTCAGTTATGCAAAAGACCTAATCTTCTCAAATTTAAAACATTTCCACTCAAAATGAATAGCCTATTCTCAATAAACCCTATTCTGCTTAATCCACCAGAACCGTGTGCATGGTGCTCTCCTCTTGTCCTTTCTGCTGACAAATGTCTGATGAACACCATTGCCATAATGAGGTGGCAGTAGACACACAAGTGTTTTTAAAGCTATAAAACAAACACAGTACAAATGTAAAGGTATCACTGCTGCCTTAATATGAAGGTTGGTAAATGGTTAATAGGAAATAGTATCTCAGAATCAACAACAACCAAACCTATTGTTTCAGTATTCTTTTCTCTTTTGTAATATATGAAAGATTTTGATCATGATGGTTGCTACTTGATTATTGAGTTTTTTTTACTCTAACCTAATAACTGTAACTTATGTTCAATTTTTTGTCATAATCAGAAGCTCCACAAGTTATACTGTATATGAGAATTGTTTATGCCAGGCATTCCCATCACAAGTTCTAGATTTGAAGGTTTCATTAAGCTTCAGGACATACATAAAAGTAATGTAAAACAGGAAAGCAAACCAAGTTTGCTGAACTTGTTCATAACGCAGAGCCTGTTTGCCAAACCAGGGACAGAGTTAGATGCAAAGTTGGTTATCTGTAAATTTTGCCAACTGTGCAAAATGAAGTGAACCTGGTGTTCCTTATGCTCTGTTCATGCATGAGCCACGGAAACAGCTGCCACTGCAGGAGGTCTCACTTCCTCTAGCACGTGTGCACGCAGAAGCACATGCACTGTTGTACTCTAATTTTCACACGAACACTTATGACAACTGTAAAAATTACCTCTTACTAGATCCTCTGTTCATTTTAGATGCATTTTTCCTCTAGCTTTTTGTTGTTGGTGGTGGTGGCCATGGGACTTGAACTCAGGGCCTGGGCACTGTCTCTGAGCTTTTCTGCTCAAGGCTAGCGCTCTTATCACTTTGAGCCACAGATCCACTTCTGGTTTTCTGCTGATTAATGGGAAATAAGAGTGTGATGGACTTTCCTGCTCCACCTGGCTTTGAACCTGGATCCTCTGATCTGAGCCTTCTGAGTAGCTAGGATTATAGGTATGAGCCACCAGTGCCTTGACCTATCATATTTTTGAAAAAAGGTTTACGCAAAGTGCCTCTCATTCACAGTTTATTCTTTCTTCTTATTGCTTGTTTTTTTATTTTTTATTTGCCTTATCATTTTGATGAAACGGTGTTTCCAAACTTTTTATTTCTTGATTGAAACCAATGGAAAAAGTTATTTAACCTACTATGAATTATAAATCTCATTTCTTAATAGTGCTTCTGCCATCTTTCTTCCAGAAGATCACTGTTAATACTTCTAAAAATCAAGTGTGGTGAATCTTCATTTTGTCTTAAACTCTCAATATTCAAAAGCTCATTAAAGATGATATGTGTATTAACGCCATCATCAGGATGCTATACTGTGAAGATCTTTTTTTCTGTCTTGTTTCAACCATGGTCTTAGCTTTGTGTGATGCATTAAATACTTCCTGTGTTTTGAGATACTGTTGGCAATCTTTAACAGTGCATGAAGTTAACCTACCTCTCAAATATTCACTTTAATTCCTGATAATTTTTTTCACCTTCTACAAATGACTTATTAAAAATCCTTTAAAAATACATTGTATTCTAAAAGAAATTTGAAAACATACAAGATCATTATATAAATTAAAAAAAACTAAGACTTCCAAGTAAACAAACATGAAAAAAGATATGTATTTCAGTAAGATATGTATTTCAGTAAGATATCTTACCGTGTGGTAAGACACCACAGTTTTTCTTCCATGACTTCGGGTACCTTATCAGGTTTTGTTTTGTAATTTTATAGAACACATTGTTAGCTGTACTTTTCATTTTATGTAGGTGTTTCTTAGTCAAATACTCGTTTAATTTGAACCTCACCTATGTTTATTAATGATTAGTATGTTAATAGTTTTAATTTTCTATTAAACATCCACGTACTATACACCTCAGACTAGTGGTTTCATCAGATTAAAATTGCTGCTGAATTTTTATTTCTGTGATCATTGAATTCCTTCCATAGTCTTAAAAATTAACTTTGCCACTTAAAAACTGAATATCACAAAACACCAAAGAATTTAAATTTTGAAACCATATTTAAAGTCATATTAACACAGTAATTTATTATTACATACTATTAATCTGTCCCAATTTGTCTTAACAGCTTCCTCTACCAAGACAACATATATCAGCTACAGCAATCATTCAATCTGAACAGGGAAATGATACAATCTGAAGAAATGTGGTTTGTGATCTTACATAATGAATATGAGACTACAAAAACTCCCTCCTGGAGATCAACGTAGACTACAACCAATCAAATCCATAGTCAATCTTGTAAGGAACAAAAATTAGCCTGAGCCAAATGTACCAATAACTAGCGGGGAGTGAAGAAACCCGTTTTATACAAAACAACTAATGAGTGTAAAGCTAAAAGTATTGCTGACTCATGAGCAATTACAAAAACAACAACAACAAAAACAAAACAAAAACCTAAAATCTCAAAAGGAAAACCAATGTTAGCTTGTGAACAAAAATGCTGTTGAAATCAACCATGTCTGATGTTATTCTTGTAAGTATTTTTCTGTGATTGTGAGAACTCCCGTTCCTGCCCCATGTTGTTCAACTTGTATAAGACAATGAGTTTGTTTCTTGTAAAGGCTGACCTGATTGAAGCCCTGGGTTGTGCTAAAAATAAATGCAATGATTGACGCATGCAATTTTTTATACAAATAATTTATTTCTAATAATAAAGGAATGTTTTGCAAATGTTGAGAGTTGTTTCGTTCCAGTTTTACAAAAGCTAGGTCATTCTTCTTTCCAGTTGGTCCTGCTTCTGTTTCTTTTTCCTGGTGTTCCCAAGGAAATACCATTTCCTCCGGAAGTGTTTATACATTTGTGTGTGCTTACAAACGGTGGTCTTTTATTCCTATATGAAAAGGTGTTACTTATGTTAAGATTTTCTGAATATTCCCAGCTTTCTGTGATGGCTTTTCATAGTAAATGCTTCTTTCATGAAGAATCAAGTATTTGTTTGAGGTAAATTGCTTCATTATTATAATTGACAAATGATGGGTTAAGCTTTACTTGGAGAATGTAATGTGAAAAGCACCATGTAAAAATATATATCAAGGTGTCACTGAAATTCTCCATTACATTTCTAATTTAAAACTTTTGCATAATGGAATTTCCCCTGGTATGTGGTATTAACCTCTGCTCACCTGGACCTAAAAATCACTGAAATCTGTAATGGTAATGGGCCTTACCAAGTGCATTCTTCAAAGCACAGAATTAGCATATTTATTCCCCTACCATCACTAAAGAAACCACAGTTCAGATAACATGTCAATGCTTTCTTATTTTCCAAATGAAAACATTCATTGGTTCATAGAACAGTATCATTAAAGAGACAGAAAACAGGGAGTCTGTCTCATGCTAATAAACCATGCCAGATGGATAAAAGGAGCCTGTGAAAGGTTTTCAAATGTGTTGCCATTTTTTTTCATGAGTGCCTCTATTGCATACAATCCCAGCCATCCATCAAACCAATGGGTCTCTACAATCATTTTGTTAGTAAATGTTCTCTCTGCTGAGTTAGCTTGGATGGCTCATTGCACTCTGTATAGATATAAAGAGCTCTGTAGCTTCCACCCTGATATTAACAGTCAATTTTATTTAATAGAGAAGGTTGAAGCAACAGCACAAGCTCATTTCATATACAGGAACAGTTTTCAGATACCTAGGAAGATAGGAAAAGAGAGGAAGGATTACATATTTACTGCCCTTTTGTCGAATTTTTTTGAATAGTGTAGATAATATTCAAATAAAAAAGTAAAGGTATTACTTTCAAGTTTTCGGATAATCTGAATTGCTAATGACAGGTTCCTATAACCTGGATCCTAAACCCACTAGTAGCTGTGCCTTTTTTGATAAGACTGACACTAAGGAACATAAACCCATAACTGAAAATTTAGTTATGATTGGGTTATCATGTATATCAATACCAATAGACTTCCTAAGAGAGAATTTTGAATTGCTAGTATTCTTTGTATTGGAGACTGTTGGTGATTTATAAGATTCTGTTACTTGATTTTAGGTGATTATTCATATGTTTTGCCAAGAAAAACATTTGACTTTTATAAGCCTTACATTTCACAGAGAGAACAAAAACTCAAGTATATGCTCATGTTCTCATGTGTTCATTGACTCTAATCAGGGTAATTGGTATGACAGGGTAATTATGAGAGCATAGCTGGTTCTCAGACCAACTATTATTACTACTTTTAAAAATTTTTTAAAGATTTTTTAGGAGGACAAATAAAATATGGCATTTCAAAACTTCTCTTCCAATCGCAAGTTTATCAATGGGTAAATTTACCTGATTCCCTTAGCTAATTTTATAAAGAACTGATGTGTGTTTGGTGTCATGCAAAATCCGATTTAACTCATAATTGACTTAAACCATTGTTGTCCTGGATTTCCATATACCAGTAAATATCTGTAACTTTTCTGCTGAAGAAACTTATCATCCTCCCCAAGGAGTACGAGTAGGAGCCCTCCCATTCGTGTAGTAGAAGATCCTTCAGCTCTTAGAGTAGGAGGTGGAGAATCTGCCCTCTACTGTATTTATGTTCTCAGGGATTTTGCTGAGGGCTTCCCAGAGGTAGATGGACTGGGACAACAGTAGCATCTGGTGAGAGAGATTTGGAATGTGCTTGGTAGTGGCTCACAGGACTGGTGCTTTAAAACAAACTGCCTGTGTTCTATAGATAAGCAAATGCAAAGTTGCACGAGGAAAAAAAATACAGTATTATAGTTTTTAAACTTGACCTTGTGTTTTATTCTGGACAGGAAATGTCATATCTAATCTCAGCATGTCAGAGGTAATGCTAAAAATGTAGCCCATAGTAATATTTAGCAAATGTCACTTGTAGACAATGAGAGCTATATTAGTGTGACCTTGAGCCAAATTTGACCTCAGTTAAAAAAAATAGATTACACTAGTCAATACTCCAAGATGTCCAACTCAGTGATAGTTGGTCTGTTACATACATTGTAAGTAATGGAAACTTAAGGACAAGAAATATTAAGTAACTGAAACTTAAGGACAACTAGAGGAATGTCAAAGACTGAGAAACTTAGAGTCTACCAGAAAATGTTTATAGAGAATTTAACATTTCACATTAATAAAATTTTACTCTTTAAGTTACCTCACTATGGATAAACTAGGCACAGATCTTTTTATCATTTATAATTTCCACTTTAACTTAGTATTCTTTAGAATTTATCAATACTTGATAATATAGAAGCAATATTAACAATTTTCTAAAGTATATTAGCTAACATTATTATTTTATTCAGCCAGTAGGTGGAAGACATAGCTTTTAATGTTTCTGTTACGGTATCTTAGTAAGTTTACTCATTTCAGTTATTTAATATTGTTTAATATCAGTATTTATCCATCTTCTTGGATGAGATGTCCAAAAGAAGCAGTGAGTTTCCATGAAAGGATGACTGGGAAATTATAGCAAATTACAGAAAACTCTAATCATGTATAATAAGCATTAGGAATGTTTCTTTTTGATCTTTTGTGGTTCACAAAATATAATAAATATCAGTAATGAGGAAAAATTATAGTTTCTTCCAAAAGAAACTATAATACATATATTCAGACATAAAATCTCTGATACTTGGAAAGTAGCATTTTGCTAAGATGAGGATACAAGCAGGTAATTTAATTTTTAAAATATTCTCTGTTTTATTACTGTAGTTTTAATTTTTTACAGTATAATTTTTAACAGTGATACATCTCTGAGCCCCGTTGCTTGTCAGTTCATCTAATCTTTCATAAGGTATTCAGAATATATTTTGTTTACATTAAACTCAGTCTGTTATCAATGTCAAGTCCCATGTCACATTTTGACTTACATGTCTACTTTCATAGTGATAAGGAGAAAGGAAAAATACACCTGTTAAAGAATTTTCTGTTTGTTTAATATGAAAAGTAGTTCATCTAAAGCCAATTTTAATAAGTAACTTTGTACAAAGTCACTGAGATCCAAGCTTGAACTGGAGCCTAGGACATGCCAAGAATTTACCATGTAATGACTTAAATGGCACAGAAGTACTGTGACTACAGAAAAAAGGAAAGATAGAAGATAGTATAAAATTTCAGGAAGTCCATGAGATTGCTGATCACTAGCTGAATTCACTACAACACAGGATGATTTTGGAAGTCCATGAAAGTATTTAGAATATTAAAGTATAAAATTCATAGTTGAAAGCAAGTCACATAACAAGGAAAGAAAACTAACATGTCAAGGATTTTATTCATCCATTACCTAATGAGGACCTCTAATACAATGTTAAAACTAGTCCAAAGGGTATTTGAAAAGCTGGTGTTATATATGGTATATGAATTATGATTGTGATAAATAGGAGGGGGTACATACAATATTAGCTAGTACTTAATTTGATACATATTTTACCATATGACCAACATAGAAGTTATCTATTTTATTGGACACAAATGTTTTGAATTTCTACTTGATAAAATTCTACTAAGTAATTCTTATACCTAGAATTAGAAAGTACCTGTGCTGATAGAAATTCAAATGTGGTCATAACTAAAAGACTATTCCATTAATTAAATGCATTGCATATTTCCAAGTTTTGTCTGATTTCTCTGATAGAATGGTACTATATTATTTTACATCACTGTAATTATATAAGCATTACATTGGCAGCATCTGAGTAAGAAGGATCATAGCTATTTGTAATAATATGAAGATATTCCACTTAGTAATGGGAGTGTCCGGGATAGCTATTTTAATCACTTTATCCCTCTTTCAACTGTTTCTCCATTCTAGAGGCAGAATTAAAAAAAATGAGATGATGGAGAAATGGGAAGAAATATATGGTTACCTTCAGGTGGCAGATTTTTTCTGGAAGTTCTACAATCTGTGAAAATGTAGCATCCTTTTCTCCATTCTATTTTACCAGTGGACATTTTCTCTTCCCTTTTGTGTGGTACATGACTCTAAAGTATGAAATCTTATTTTCAAGAGTGTCCATGAGGATGATAAACAAATGATGATAAAGCAGCATTGAGTTTCCACAAATATCCCAGGAATTTAATAACTTTTCTCTGGTAACGTGGTGCCTAGCAGGGTGTTGAGGAATACAGAGCCATGGGGTTCCTTCTCTTGGGAACCCTCTTTCTGAGTAGACCAGTGGCAGTTCTGA